GAAAAAGAGACAGAGCGAGCGAGCGAGAGAGAGAGAGAGAGTTAAGAATTATTGAAACAGATTGTCTCTCTGTACCATTTGATCACTGCGCAACAAAAGCAATTTTATATCTTGCTAATTTCACCTTTTTGTATTCGTATTTGAACGAACCAAGAGACTTTCTCAGATCCTTTTGGAAAAAAAAGAAAAGAAAGGAGACAAAGGAACAAGTAAATTATATTTTGCTTACTCATGAAATTGTGCTATCCAGTGATAAACTGTTGATATATTAAATGTTTCTTCCTTCCCGGTTTCCTCCCGAATTTCCACGAGATAAACGTGAAACGAGATTTTATATTTCAAAGGAATGTTTCTCCCGCGATAGAACGTGAACGGAATTTTTAAACTCGGAAAGTTTAGCAGACGTGTGTATGAAAGATTGTAAATTATTCTTAGCGGATATACTTATATATCGTTTATGTGATACGAGAAACGTGACAAAATAGCATTAACTCTGTTAATAACAAGAAGTTTTACTATTTAACCGACACGTTTTCGACATGATAGTATGGTCTAGCAAGATGTCTTTGGAAGAACAACAATTTTATACGTATATCTGTTTTTATATACTTAATACTATCCAGTAGTGTACCTACAGCTGGCACTAAAAATAATTATTTTGTTTCTCTTTTTTCAATTGGGTTGATGCACGTGAACAGTTTTTGAGACATGCTGCCTTTTCCGCTATAATAATCTCAACTGCAGATGATATTTACGCGTTTAGTGCTTAGTCTTAATGAAGTAGGAATAACGTTTCTTTCTCGTTCGTGACTTTTAAAATTAACCTCTGAAATGTAGATTTAAATGAACATTCGCCGTTTAGCGACATCACGGAAGCTAATTATATTAATGTAATCGCATTATCTTATAAGAGAATTTTTCAAACACTATGTATGTTTGTGATCTAAGTTTAAAGGAAAAAAGGAAAACAGTGTTTTACGTGCAACAATCCAATAATTGTAGGGACACGGTACTGTGTAATCGGTACCGGACTATGACATTATTGATGCATAGAGTTTATGTAGTTGGTCTAGACGTTACATTTATAAAATAGCTATAAAACTAAACCCATTGAATTACCAAAATAGATTAAAGACAATTCCGTAAGTAGTTACTGATTAATATAGAATTTGTTGCCAAAAATGTGAAACGTTTGTACATACAAACCTAGAGATCTGATCGCTATTCGATGTTGTATACTTGAGCAAATACTTTATTTCCGTGGATTGTTTAGGATTAATACGAGCGCATAATTTAATGGAGTATATAAGAATCTTTATATCTAAAAAAAATCTTTTTAGACTAAAATTTTTGTTGATTAGATAGAGACGTACGAGGTGTGCAAATTATTGAACAGTAGTTGAAAGTATAAACGAAATGTAGTCGCTTTTTCAATAAGCAGATATTGATTTATTTAGAAGATAACGGCTGATTTGATTTATCGGAAAGAATAGACGATAAAGAGATGTATTTTCGTATTTCCCTTTCGGTTCTTGTTTCTTCAATGAATTCACTTGTATGTCTTCCGAAACGTTTAGGGAACATAATTTGAATCTACGAAATGATATTAAGTTTAATAATAATTTCGAATTTAATAATATGCACGTCCTGGTACCATTTCTTCATGACTTGTACAACGAATAAGTTACGCGTCGTTTATATACTTCTACTTTAATATTATACATTGTTTAAACAGTATTTCTAACAAATCATAATATAATGCATGATTTTTAATGCATAGGGGAAGAAAAACGTTTGAAATTGTGAAAAAAAGGATAGATAGTTAAGTAGAGGCTTATTGATAGTTGCAAATCAGTGTACAAAACCGGATCATTGGCTCTTCTATGAACGTTTGATATATCCTATTATTTTGATATATCATCGTACTCATTCTCGAATCTGGTATTCGATTTTACGATGGAGAAAAAGATATTATTCGACAAACGAGAACACAATGCGAACGTCAGATACTCGTTGCGGAATTAGCAACAAACTATTTTCCAGTTTAGTATATAATATATTATATTAATAGCATATTATTTTTTATTATACTCGTACAATTTGTAATTTCAAGTAATTTTAGATGAATCTTGGTGTTTGGTAATTCCATATTCTCTGGACTGTGTTACAAATCTCTTTTTCTATGGTTAACAAATTACTTTGAACAGAGAATCGATGCTTTATATATGTACTTGTACTTAGTTCTTCTTTTTATATACATATATATATATATATATATGTTTTTTACGCGAAACGAACAGAGAAAAAGAAGGGAACTGAGATGTTCATGAAGCAATTTTCTGATTCAAGCAAAAATCTGTCTTCCATAATTGAAAATGTTCTTCACAGCTGTAAAACGAAAAACTATACTAACTTCTATTCAATGATTTCTCGACAAGCAATATTTTCTACACGGACTTTTTAATTAATTTCGACAGAAAGTCGCCAATACTTTCTAATCGCGAGACATTGCTGCGACACACGTCTACACGCAAGTCGGACAAATGCTATTGTTTCACTGTTGTGATTCATTACAATGGAAATGTGAACGAATTAATGTATAATACTGTATACAGACTTCATAAAGCAAGAATTATGCAAGCAACGTGCGTTCTATTAATTCCCTTATCATTCTCCCTAAAATATATACCCAACGAAATATAACATAACAATGTCACAACGTTATATCGTATTTCATTATTATATTACAGACGATTCAAAATAAAATTTCTAATCACATCTTTATAATATCCCAAACGTTTATTCCCTATTTCTCCTAATGAACGAATCTCGTTTTAACCATATGAAGAGAATAAGAGGACAAGTCTAAATTCCCCGATTCATTAACACTAAAACTACCAGACAGGTCAAATGACCTATTTCTGATTTCTTTTTGCAATTATTAAACGACAGATGTTTTCTGAGAAATTGTTACAGAAATCGATTTAGCAATACGAGAACCGAATTGCACAGCAATGGAAGTCTCGATAGACTCGCTCTTGGAGTTTCTATAAAGGAACTTCGAAAAGTCGGTTCAACTGCTCGGTAGCTTTAGCGTTAAAACAAAGATGGTGGCACCGATTCGGCGGACCGACGAGTAACTTACGCAACCAATTATTTGTCGTGAGAACGATGGAAATACGGCGCAATTCATGAACCGTAGATCGATAAATTATCTGAAGGAACGCATATGCATACGCACAATTTACGCGTTACTCTTGCTCGGTTGCGTAAATTAACCCAAACGGGTCAATACCCTATCGCTACAGTTATCAGTTACATGTTTACATACGTACACGCCGAACGGATTTATCACGGACGGTCTTTCTTTTTATCTTCCTACGAGAGAACGTTACTTCGTTGTCTTACTAGCATTTGTTTACGCGCACGAAGAGCTACACACTTACTTGCCGAGATACGTGAATGACGCGGGAAACGATTTTTTAATGTCGGAACCTCCATAAACACGGCGCATGAATAATAGTCCATCAATAATTAAATACTCATCCCACGTTTCAGTTTTATTCGCTGCGCCTCTACATGTGCATTCCATTCTTTCGATCATCGAGCGGGACACGCGGAATAAATCGAACTGTTCCGGTAATTAAACGAAAGTATGATGACACTTGTAAAACGTCCTGCATGATCCTCCTGTTTCTATGCTTATTTCCAATCCGGTGGAACTCTGTAGTTCGTATGCGAATATAATTGCAGTTGCGATTTTAGAAATCAGTTTCCGCGGCGAACGTGTTCCATCTATTTGTATTTCGAATTAATGAATTAATGTTCCGATTCGTATTCTAAGGATTATACGCGTCCATATTTCACGCGGCTGTATCTAATACTCGGTTAACACGAATTTCACTGAATGAACATAGCTTTTACGGTAAAACTTTCCTCGAGGAAAATTTAGTTGAACATTGACATATAAACTTAGGAAAAATGTTCATTCGAGCAATCTCTATGATTCTTAGCGACTCGAAAGAATAAAATAGAACATTCCTCGAACAAATGTCAAAATAAAATCCCGTAGTACCTAAACTATACCAATCAAAAGTGAGAATTAAAATTATAAAGCTCTCGTTCTCGAAGGTAATATAAAAATAGAAATTCGTGTAGAGTGCTCCATATTTTTCGGCATAACGTATATAAAATAGAACATTCCTCGAACAAATGTCAAAATAAAATCCCGTAGTACCTAAACTATACTCGATATCAATCGAAAGTGAGAATTATAATTATAAAGCTCTCGTTCTCGAAAGTAATGTAAAAATAGAAATTCGTGTGGCCCGGAGTGCTCCATATTTTTTCAGCGTATATGTGTCGTTTACTGGTGAATCAGTGAACTTTTGCGTTCAATGGTTAAAGAAAAGCTCTCGGTCAGCCATTGCGGTCCCACCATTGGCTTGCACCCGCGGAAAAGCTCGCGGTACGTCTATCAGCGATTCTGGATTGGCTCGATCCGCGCGGCGCTGATAAGAAAACCACGGCCCCATTGGTCGGGCCTGCCATTCTGATAAAACCGTTGTTTGTCGCGGCGAGCGTCGTTCTTTTGCACCGGGACGCCTGTTGCACGCGTCAATCTTTCCACATTCATTGATCCGTCACGTGCAAACCCATCAGACTGTTCACTATTCGATATTAACGCACTCGACGACAACTCGTCGAGCCTCGTAGCGAACACGTTAGTAAA